AAAGAGCAAAACGACAGCCGCTCTGCAACCTCTTGGCACGTCCTTGGCAGGAGCTACAGCACTGAGACTTCTTCACGTCCCGTGGCAACGGGTGTGGCATAAACCAAAAAACTTTGGAAGTCTCAGCACCTAAACCACCATTATGTCTGTTCACCACTTCGTGTGTTACACGTTGTTGGGTATGATTAATAGTCCGATTCTGCTACCGAGGGAGTACATAAACTGAAAAATAATACGGTGCAGCCACTACAGGGCAAAGTTTGAGTAAGCACTCATCAAAGAATTGCACGCACATGAGTCACCATGCCCAGAATAGACAAATTTTCCTTTTCTTACTTGCGTACGTGCCTAAAGAACACTGCAGTTGCTTGGCACAGTGAGAATGCGCCATCCATTTTCCAAAGTAACCTGAGGGTAGATATCCATAATTGCAACTCCACGCCCGCCCTGGTACGTTTGGCATTATTATGCAAATGCACTCGTTCGCAGCCTACGTTCCTGTCATGAATGTCATTTGCCCTAACCGATGCACTACCCCTACGTCATCTTTCATGGTGGCAGATATCATCTAGACAACTTCCTAGACAGAATCAATGAAAGAAAAGCCTCTTAGCAAGCGGATGCAGTCCCTGAGCTACCCAGTAATTCAGCATATCACAGGAACGAGTAGGTAGCATTGATGAGGCCACGCCTACTACTACACCATTTTTCCCACACCTCAGCTGCCATGTATACGCAACGTATCACGAACAGAAGGAAAGCTTCAAGCAAGGAACGGAATCAATGACAGAAAACGCCAACTCATAGCCACAAATCACCTCATTGCAATTATGATGTATGCTTAAAGCGGTGAGCACACATGTATTCTCCAAAGCTAAACTGCTAGTGGTTCTAGACACCACCAGGCAACCTCACGCAGCCCTGCAAACGACTCTGAAGTAGAGCTGGGAGAGGTACGTACCACACCAGTGCATCAAGAAGAACAAGGGGGTGGGCCATGCACTGGCCGCTCGTGCGCCTGCCAAAATAAAGGTCAAGTCGCTGTTCTCCTTGCCTACCTCAACCTCTACACAGCTGAGCAAGGCACACAGTATCTCACATTGGCCCTATTTTAAGCGTCTCCAAGCGACGAGCTCGCACTAACAGTATGTTCACACAGTAGTTCAGCTCAACTCAATAATTAGATTCCATCGAAGCCCCTCCACAGAAGGTTATAGGTGCGCTATACCACATTGCATCGAAGCACCTGCACAGAAGATTATAGATACGCTATGCTTGATTAACCAAATAGTTGTAACACAGTATCCAAAGGATGTAGGTCAGCATGAAGCTGTTCGCTCTTCATCCACCCCAGTAGCACAGCTACAAGATGTTGTGCTCCACTAAATTACGGAGGATAAACTGTTCTGCTGCTGTGAGACCTCGAATTCAGCTGACTGGTGTGAGCAACCTGCAAAGCAGCTGCCTTGAAAGGCTTGACTAAAGCTTTTTCCTGCGACCCCTAGTGAACCCACCAAACCGCGGAACGCGGGAACCAAGACCCTCGTATCTGCAGCCCAGCGCACATACTATTGGCAACGCACGAGAATATGCACTTCTCGCTTTATTCTAGCTGCGGATAAAGTCAAGTCAAACGAAGCAACGCAAAGCTGCTCTACTGAGTCACTTACCCTGCATGGGCATACTTCTTGCCAGGTACCTCTCCAACTGATACACTCTCCAAGCCCACAGGATCCACGAAAACACCATACAAGCATGAATCGTTACCTTCGTTGTCAAATACCACTCTAAAGCCATACAATGAAAGGACAAACGTACTGGCTGGTCCACTCCAATCGTGCACACGAGGAGTGCCAGGTGACATCAAGGCACTGTGCATAGCACACAATTGTGCCTGTAAGTACTCAAAAGACATCCAACCCCCCTACCCAAAATTTTGAAGGAGAGGGCAATGACACCTTGGATCTGCGTAAAGCCCGGAAAACAGTCACTTTGAAAAAAAAATTGTGCCCTGGTCACACTGGCTGCTTGCGCTAATCCATGTGATATTACAGCGCAGAGAGACCTTTCCCAATGTCAGTGGGTCATGACGAGTAGGCGTGGCCCTCTACCTGCAATCTATTGCTCTGATATAAGTATAGTAAACCGCCTGCCGTATTGCTTACAACTAGCTGCCTTCGTAGCTTTTCCGGCGGTCTGAATCGAATGACTCGCAAATACATGATTCCAAAAGTAATCGAACTGAGTGAATCAAGAATTTTTTAATCCAAGAGTAATCTCTCCTGCTGTTTTTTCTCTTTGTGCACCATGAAAGATCCCTGAGCAATAAATGCATCCGGCTAGCTATATCAGACACCATTTTAGACCACCATGGATTAGCTAGGGTAATGATCACAATATAATTGTCCAGCAACACGTTGGTCCACTCAAGAGTACGCATGGAAGCTTATAGAGAAGCTCGCAGCTCCAGACTGGATAGTGCCGTAACGCAGTTGGTGGCTTGAGAAAGTATGTGTCCACTGCATGGGTGCATACTAGCATGTACGAAGAGGTGCACTCAGTTTCTGCTACCCTTGCTCCAAGCCCGCATGCCCTCTGTTTTTTGCGCCTATGCTAGAAAATAAGGTTTTGGAACGGGGCACAGACAGGCTGCCTAGGGTGGTAAGAGGTAGCCGATATTGGCCCCACTGCATGAAACAGCTGTATTGACTCACTTCGTCAGGGCCATGTTTACGGTCTTGAGCATCATCTACTGCTTGACGTTATCTCCTTTTATTCTCCACTACGGAGCTGGTAAAATATGCTATGAACAACGATACTGTGATGGAAGCAATGGGTCCACCCATGGCGACCTCTGGATGCCTTCTTGGGGTCAAGCCCCCTCTGACCGGGTGAAGCGTTGAGTTAACAGCCTCTATGCGACGGAGGACTTCATAAACTAAGACCTTTGCTAGATGGAGGTTTGTTTGTAAATTTTGTAGGCGCAGGATCTGAGGCTCAGGCTGGGCACCTGATGGCGCTACGAGGGCACCACCAGCCACCAGAAACAGCCAAAATCCGTGCATATTATAAGCGTGTGATTTCTCTGGGCAGTAGGGTAGACCGTTTTGCAATGTTAGCGAAATAGAATGATTGTATGCACAATCCCGCGGAGATGACAACGTATTGCGTCATACGCTCAATTAAGCAGAAGCAGCAAGAAGAGACGATCACAGCAGCTAGTCTTTTTGCGTTAGGCGAGGGCATGCAGCTTCGAAGGTTAGGGCAGCAGTTCGCTACAGATCCAGTTAACTAAGCGCTACGCGCGCATTTTGCTCGAAGCATGTTCGTGTATATACTCCATATTCAGAATGTAAATATGCATTACGATAAGCAATGTTTGTCGACTAAAGAAACGATATTTCCCAGCAGCCGATGCCCTCGAAAAGGCGTTCAGTAGTACCGGGAAGACGATGGGTATTGGGAACAATGCATAGTGCTCCGGGTGAGTGCATCAAGGCACCATACGGCCGGTCTTCCTATTTGCTTGCGTTTTACATTCTATATCCCGCCCCTGAAGAGGGAGCGTGAGGTGTACACCTTGGCGAGGACCTCGGGGTCACAGACGCTTGTGCGCAGGCTCATTCATCGTTTAGAGCTCCCGGGTTCAAAATAATCTTACTATGCAACGAATTTTTGTATTTCAAGCTCATATCTTGAGCAGCTTGCCATCCCATACCTTCTAAGTATGCCTGCCAGCGCAAAACTTACGTAGGGTGCCCCGAAACGTGTAGTGATCGGCGATAAGCCCTCTACAGCACTCGTTTTGAGCTTGCAAAACGAGGCCCTCAACGTGGCACTGAATAGGGTTTTGCGAAGAGTTCCAGAGTAATCTAAAAGCACTGTCCCCTACTATGCACCCATGGGCTTTGGTCAAGGGTTTCGATTAATGGTGGACATGGATTCACTATTGGCTCGTTTTCCTAAATGGTACCTGGAGGATATTTCACTAGATGGATTATATAATGCATTTTTAAAATTTGAATATGCATGATACGTTGATTATTAATGAAAACTCCCTGTAATTGATTTGTAAATCGCCTTCTACCGCCTGCCTATATGCTGACAGATGCAAGGGTTGCATCATATGACTTCCCTGTGCGGCGCCCCACGCCACAAAGGCTCCCAAATCAGGAACGCTGCAGGATGCCATGCACTCCCGCATCATCATGTATTTTCACTGGGGCCCCCGCTGCATGCTTCGAGCCCACAGTTTTACTTGCCATGTACGTTGTAAAGAACGCTCTCGCAACTGTAGGAAACAATACTCCATAAGCATCATGCGGGATGAAAATGCGACGCCCCTAAAGGTATTGGTGATCGTGGGCTGCTTGTTGCAGGGTTTTATTAGGTGTCTACAACAGTGTAAAGCCGCCTGTGATGGACACTAGCCCAGAGCTGCCTTTGGCAGCACTAATACAGGGATGCAGCTCCAAATTCCCCGCGATGAAGTCTACATGAAGGATAGATTCAGAATTTGTTGGAGCGAAATGACCCTTGGCAACAAGAACTGAAATCCAAGCCATAGTAGTGCATGGACGTTACTCAAGCAACAAAACTTACTCCTAGGCACACTACTGGACATGGCCCCCGCGCAAGTATACTTCCCGATAGAGTCACATTCCAGAACGGATGTGGTACGGCACTCTGAGTCCGTCTGACACTACAAAAGACGAGAGAGCAAACCACTGCAGTCCAAATAAAGTTTGTACTGCAAAATAGCCCGGGATACGATAGGCGAATCCCCTTGCTGCCACGCTGCGTCTCTCCTGCAGGTAACATATGAGCCCAACATCCATGCAGGCCAAGACTCGACGGTTGCTCCCGCCTCAGGGCTCATCAATCCCGCTTCAGCATCTTCGTGAAGCTATATTAGGGCCCCCTGACTACCAACGTAGGCGAGCCACGCCCTTAGAACTCCCTTAGGAGTGGCGATTCAGGGCTTGTTGGGTATTACTCCCTCAGCACCCGGTAAAGGAGACGGGCAGACCCATTGCCGCAAGCGCTGCGGCATCTGCATTCACCGCGAAACCGTCTGCTGCGGGTGCTGATGCTGATCCCACAGCACCAGCAGCTGCCGCTTTCTTTTTCTTCTCTTTTTTCTGCTGCCTCTTGAGTTCCTGTTCTCTCTGCAGCTCCTCGATGCGCCGCTTGACTCTATCGAACTCATCTTCAGCTTCTGGGGCCCCTGAAGGTACCGTTTTGTTCTTGTCAGACGTCCCACGCAGCTTTACAGACGTCTCTGATTTCACTGTATCTGCTGCCTCGGCCTCCGCCGTAAGTCCGCGTCGCGCTGCTTGGAGCTTCGCCTTAACACGGGCAAGCGGCACCCGCTCCACACGCATGCTCATGCCTGTAAGAGCAGCAGGTAAAATAGCAGTCGATTTCTCGCCATACATTAGCAGCAGCAAGACATGCCCCTGGATAGCCCCCAGAAACACGAAAGCCAAATGTGAGATAGTTCAAGGTAAAGGGATACACGGCAGCATGAAAAAACAGGGACTGGTAGCGTGGGGAACAAAGCTTTGCATTACCTAAAATTCTGTTGTGGTTTCGGCCGTTGATATGATCCAAATACGCCTGAGAGTCTTTACAAAGACACTCGCAAATGTCACACCAGAATCTGCACCACACAGCAACGCATATGCAGCAAATGCTGCTGCTACTGCTGCTGGGCTGCTCGGCTTGTCCTGTGGTCAACATAGCGATTAATATGAAATCGAAAGCCCTGATAATGCCGCAAAAACAGAAACTAGAAGTGCAGCAGAACGACATTCAACTAAGGCAGTCTCTGTCCGGGGCACCAACAGTGGGCTTGGCAACGGATCAGTAGCAGGGCCGTCCAAAGGAGCAGCCGCAAAATTACTGTAAATCACAGCAGTCATCTTATGATTAGTGTTGGCTGACCCTCCCTGTTGCATCCTCGGTGTTTGGAGGGTCACCATCTTAGTCCGTCCCACTTCCCTCTCGAAGTCTAGCTTGAAGGTCCTTTGCTGCAACTGTTGCCGATAGCCACACGGTGGCAGCGGCGGTGGCTTTGGTTTCTCGCGAGGCTTTGGCAGCAAATCCAGGAAAGATTCGGCACCACTCAACGCCTTTTCTTTAGCTTTTACCTCGTAGTACTCCTTGTCCCACACCTACAGAAGTAAAAGCAGTGAAAGCGGCAACCCGCTGAAGCCACCGTGCTGCTCTCGAGACTCGTATGTACACGTAAAAAAAGAGCGCTCACATCCAGTATCGCTCCCACGACGGCTGCCTTTATTGCTTATCGTTAGCAAAGACGACAGTAGGAGTAGTAGATGTTATATGAATATGCCTGCTCCTACACTTGGTGCAAATGGATCTAGTCTTACCCGACGTCCCAGTGCGTCTGTCCCATCTATGGGACCCTCAGGTACTGCTGCTGGTGCGGCTGCACCCATCTGAGATCGCCTCGACTGGCCCCCCGATGCGGCGGCATGAGGTGAAGCGGCCCCTGTTATAACGGCTATCCGCTTTGATGCCACAGCAACGGCGTCTGCTTCTCCCTGATGCTGCGCCTGCTGTCGTTGCTTCGTAGTAGGTGAGGGTCGCGCAAGGCCCTTCCAATCAAATCCCGCTGAATCATCGTCTTCTTCAGCCGCTGCCGCACCTGCTGCTCCTGCTCGCCTGTTGCTCACGGGCAGCGGCATGTCCTCTGGGAGCGGGCATGGCTTCAGCGAACTCAGCAGATCTCCCTGATGCCGCTCTTTCTGTATACCCCCCTTGGTGGAGCCCGGTACCGTCACTGGCAACATTCTCGGACCATACACCGTACTGTGTCACCTGGTGGAACAGCGGCAGGCCCGCTACTGTTGGCGTCTGCTTGTGCGGTTGCGCAGTCGCGTGAACATAAGAGGGAAAGCCTACGCTTCCTCACGCACCAGTAATACTTCCAACACTGTTGATCTGATTTTACAGGACCCCTCTTGTAGGCTTCTCCCGCTGTTGGCGCTGGGGCTACTGGTGCTGCTGCCTAGGCGGGGGCCTCTGCGGCAGCTGAGGCTGCCAATGATAGTCCAAGATTCTTGACTAGATTCAAAGGGCGGAATAGTATTTATATGCACAATGAGGGCAGCTTCTTTTGTACGGCGCAATGGTTGACATCGGTGAGCTGCCTCGCATGCAGCCCCGGCAAAACTCCGCAAAGGGTAGCAACAGAAGCTCGAGCTCACGCCAACGCATACAAAACACAGAGAATCCAGGCTGATTTTGGTATATTTGCACAGTGCAGGTACAGATAAGCTACGGCTGTCTCTGCAATTCGCCGTGGCTGCTTTTGCTACCGCCTAGAGCGGAACTACGATTGCGGTAGTTTGCAGAAGTACCAACCATGCGGACTCTGCATAATCTTTGAGCAGTAACGCTAGCATCAGCAGTAGGGCTTTTTAGCACCGACGCTTCGTACACCCAAGGAGTTTGGACGCCCAACGGGCAACCCACGAAATTTAGGCACCCCCCCCTCCCCCTTGTGGATCGAAGGCAGGCTGTAGTGGGCTGAGCTACACCTGACTAGTTTTATCTAGCCAAGTACACAGAAGTGGCTGAATAGTTTGTCTGTTGATATTCCGTATTTATCGCACTATACTGTTACCTTTATGTAAGAAGATGCAAGGTTGTGTGTGCGCGCTATTTCTATGTGCAGATAGCCGTTACTCAGTGCTTAGAGGGTGCAGCAATATCCTTCCTGGCTGCCCCTCTCCTATCATGACGGTAACTGTTATAAGCTTGGGGAGGGGAAGTCAGCGCATTTTTCGATGCACCGCTAATACAACATCCTCCGTTGTCCCTCCCACCGCGGTGGCAGTTACTGCTGCTGTTGGGCCGAGTGGCGGAGACGAGGGGCCTGGCCAGTAGCTCTCAGAGGGTGCTGTAGACTCACAAAGCATTGTATCAACGGCGCACGCGAAGCTACTGAGGCTGGGTGGAACCCCCCATGGGCCCCAGGAGTCGCCAGACAAACCCTTAGCAACCC